TTGGTATACAGTGTACAGTGATGAGTAAGTGCTTTACAATTTGTGACAAATCTCAGAGCACTATGATACGCAGCATTTAGTTTGCTCAGGTAGTTGGCAGGTGCATTCATATACATCAGATCACCATAGTCTTTACACATGGTTGCTGTGTATGTTGTAAGTATTATAATAGAGGGTCAAATAAGCACATGACATTTAACCCCAGGAAACCATCAAGCTAGATTTTTCTTAAACTAATGTAGCCTACGCAGTAAAGTAAAGTAAGTAACGATTCACATTGTGTTTTTTTCCTGAGCCTAACCACATATGTTATGCACCTAAACCAAAATGAACTGAATGTGAAACCTAAGTAACTGCAATCTGTTCATGACTTTGGATAGGAATCTTGCCTACTGGTAGGTGCAGTCGGCTCCTTCTGAATCATCATGGTCAGATGTCAACCTTTGGATCTGAAAAGTGAAGCCAATGCAGAGTTGGCTTAAATTTGCAGTCTTTTTGATTGTGTAGAAGACAGTGTTGTCAGTTGATTATACATTTTTTGTCTCAAAACATGTTTTGTTTATCAATCGGTTGCCTTTAGCTGCAGCACCTCAAGGCACTTCTGGTTTAAAGAAACCAAGATGGTTACAACCAAAAAACAATATGCCAACCTCCCAAAATCCTCATGGCAACAGCCAAAATGACAAACTCTGGTCTTCAAACTCATAGTCCACAAACCATTGGTGACATACGTCAACTTCTAACACAGTCTATGATTAGTCTATGATGACTACCATTCAATGGCCTGATAACATTCAAAACATGTGGTGAATGTGGTTTATGCAGATGTTACTGCAAGCATCCCCCATGCAGTTGAAATAGTAAGAATATGACCAAAGGTGGGGTTATGCATCCTTTGAATGTTTTTTAGCAATAAACCGTGGTGACCATGTTCCCATTGCTTACATCCATCATTGTGAATGTAAGCAATGTATGTGCATGTGCCATGTGAGCGTCTGTCACTTGGTGGCTTACAGTATAAGCAAGGTACCATAGAAGCAGAAGCTTGTCTTTAATCGTCCCTTTGGTTAAAGAAGCATCTTGGTATTCTACCACTAAGCCTCTGTGGCCACCCTCAGACAGAAATGGGACGACACACACACACACACACACACACACACACACACACACACACACACACACACACACACACACACACACACACACACACACACACACACACACACACACGCACGCACGCACACACACACACACACACACACACACACACACACACATCATGCTATGGAATCTATCTAACCAAAACCACTAAGCCACTGAGAGGCAGCTACTTACTACTCTGTAATAATGGCCAAGCCAGATCTAAACCATGAAAGCATCGCCAAGATGCTTTACTAAGGGATTGATTAGCCTGGAGTTGCGGAGGGTGCAGTGTTTACAGCTTGGTAGGCACGCATGCATGTAAACTTTGGATCGCACACAGGAATGGTATGCAGAGAGACATCAAAAACTCATATAAATGACTTATGCTTGGATGGCAGGCTACTGTTGCTGCTGTAAGCATGTAGTGGCAAGTTAGTGTCTGACCCACCTCAGTGCTTTCATGAAGAAGATAATAAAGGTGTTTTGATTGTTATTCAAGAATGACTGGGTAATGTGATGGTAACATGTGTGACTTCTGTACAGAAATAACAAAGTTGTTTTCAATTTGGGGTCATTTTCGGATCTTCACTGCAAGACACAAGTAAACTTTAGCACACTGCAGCACTTTTGGTCCTGTGTTGAAGTGGGTAGCAGGTCATCTTGCAAACATCACAACCACAAACTAAACCAAGCAGTCTGTCTGGAGATTGGTGCACACACTCAAAGGCGGGCTGAAGATTCTCTGACACTGAGCACACCTTTTTGATTAACTGCCAGACCAGCGCTGAGAGACAAAGGTGTCGAATGCTGGCAAAGATGACTAAAAAAACTGGTTTTCGTTTCTGCCGCTGAAGCACAAGTTGTTTTTGCCTTTAAGGTTCTACAAGTTTCAAGCTTCAGCCTTTATCTGTATCCAAAGTCTTTACTGTAGCTCACTCTTTTCAGAGTTGATGAAGTGTGAGTGAGTGCATGCATGCTTGCACATTTCTTGCACATGTTAAATCATCATCTATGGTGACTGTCCCAGTATGACACTTACCTTTTGTTATCACTTGACCTTGTGAACCTGACACAGGAATTAGGAAAGATTAAAGAGGAACAAAGTGTCAGAATTATGGGAAATCATTTGTGAGAAAATTACTTGTAATTACTTCTCTCCACCTAAAGGAAAGAATTTAGAGCAGTTTGCACGCATGCAAAACTTTGAGCAGAAAAAGTGCCACTTATTTGCTCAGAGTAAAAAGGTCTTGCATCCAGATTTAAAGTAAGTTTTTGTGCGTCGGACTCATGTAGAACAGACGGTTGCCTCCTCTGGGGTGAAACCACAGTTATGTCAGCTATAGCTAAAGACAACACATGGACCAAAACAGGATATTAAAAGAAAAAAAAAATCACAGCTCCCTAACAAGCCCGGTCCGGCCCCTGGTTGGTGTTTACGGCATTCACTTTCTGTCAAGGAAACACACTTAAGTACACAGTATAATTGTTTCGTAGAAAGTGGACGTGGCTGCTTATTTTTTTGGAACTCATTTGGCATTCTTGAAAAGACTGCACTTTGTATAGTTATCATTTGATATAATCTACATGTTTGGGAAAAGATGATTGTATGTTGACATGTGGTATTCTTACTAACACCACTGTGCAATATTCCAGATGTAATACAAGTGTCAACAAGTGCAATAAAATCTACGCATGTGGTTAATACTGTGGAGATGGTACTTTATGTAAAGAAAGGCAAAGGTTTTAGAATGAAAACCTTTGATGAATAAAGTACATTTTACAACCTATTCTGGTAACACTTTCTATGATGTCCCTGTCTGTAATGCATCACTAACATACTACATTTGTCATAATCTGTTTATATAGCTGTATAACTATAGTAACATGCACTCCAAATATTTTGTATGATGTGTAACAACTATCAAGTATCATACTATCAAATAATTGCTGAACATTCTCTTCATTTTCTGTTGCAAGGATAGTGTAATTTCCCAAGTTGTAATGCATTAAAATCAATGTTATATTGCATAATAATGTGCATATGTGTTGTTCTTAAAGGCCCCTGTGTGCTGTAAGTGATGTGAAAACACAAAAAGCTTCAACATTTTGTTAAATAGATTAGTTAAAGCAAATAATGACTAGAGTAACATTATAATCACATTAAAATGTAATATAACAGTGATAATAATGCATTTAATAAAGATCATAATGTATAACACATTTTTTACACTGGGATTCTTGCAAAACAAAGATGTGAGTGAGTGACTGGCAATAATGAGTACCTCAAAGATGTGAGTGAGTGACTGGCAATAATGAGTACCTCAAATATGATTACCAGGCTTATAGTGATTATGGTTAGTTAAAGGTATGTTTATAATGTATTATACACATTGAGTTGTTAAAGGTTTTATCAAAACTACTTTATGAAAAAATCAAAACACTTTAAAACAGAGGCCTAGTACCTTCTTCTCCTTGTTCAAATATTTGTATTATATAAACAATTCCACACATTACTCAAGGACTACTTAAACAGGGACAAGCATTCATGAGAGTTTCGTGTGAGGATAATCACCTCGTCAATTAAATACAAAAGCATCTGCTTCCAAATTTTGATTACGTGACACTATACCCTTCACCACCTTTGCTTTTGGCTACAAGGTGCTGCCAGTTGTAGCTTGAATAGTCGGTGAACATGAACAAACAGCTTTTACCACGTAGTTTTATTCTCTGGGTTAATTTAACATAATGACCTGCAGCATATTTATCTTGACGTGTATCTGGTAATAACGGGTATGCGAACTGATGAGTATCAACATGGTTTGCAAGTTGTTTTAATAGTCCTGACTTCATAAAAAGATTAATCAGCTTTTGTTTTCCTTTATCATAATATGGCGAAAATAAATGATATCTTTCAGTTTGATACGTTTTTTAATTTGGTAGCTTAGGCAAGTTTAGACAATCTTAGGTTTCTCATTCTTTCTTCCAACTCCATAAAACACACACACAACAGTCTAAGAAATACTACAGAGGCAACCACACTCCTATATAATGCCACACAGCAATCTTGGTATATGATTACATACACATTTAAACAAACTGCCCACTGAAAGCAGCAATGTATGATAACAATGCACAACAAGACACACAAGCACGTACACACGCAAGTCTATTGAAAACAAGGAACCACGCAAGAATTTTCTGTGGCACCAAGGAATTCACTGGAACAAACATAATACATTCTCCTGATGCCACCCTGAAACCATGCGGCATTCCTGGTAGACAACACGGCCTGCTTTGCAGCTTGGGAGTGGGCCTCACTTAGTAGTAAAAACAGACATTCATTTTAATTAAAGGTTTTATGCAACATAGAAAAATGCATCACAGCATAGAAATGGTGTTCTAATAGATCTATGAATGTCCCATCTGTCAATGGTGGTTGCAGCTATTTGCATCATGAGTAACTGTCATTGGCATAATGTGGGAGTGCCTACAGGGCATATTACATACATGTGGTCAATAAACCCACCGATGAGTCACTGAAATGGATTGAGCTTTTGTTTTGTCGAATAACATAACACCTGCTGTGTAGAGAAGAACGAACATCAGAGAAGCTATGAATCCTTTGTTTTACTTTCACCCATCTAACAATCCCTTTAAAGTTATTGAGACAGCTCAAATCTCGACATCTGAACTGGCTCTGACTCACAACATCAGTCATTTGTGAAAAAGAGAGTGAGAAGTATGAAAGGGAAGGTTGTTTTACTCAGTTGAATCATCTTCAAACGTAGACGATCTTTGTCAGTGCAGGTTACCACCGTCACCTAGCAACCAGCTACAGACCACAAAGAGCACAACGCCGACATGAGAGCTAGCCAACGAACTAACCAGCTATGTGTATAAAAACACCAACCTCACTCGATAATTTCATTTTTTTAGCGGAACAAAATGGTGAAACAGACGATACAGATATATGGCCGCATTAAACCTACCAAGAAAAATACAACGGTAAGTTGGCAAGTACAACAGCATTTAAACACAACTTAACAACAAAGTTGATTACATAATGCTCGACAGGATGTCAATTTAAGCTAGCTAATGTTGGCGTTATCTTAACAAGGCCTATCTAAATACGTAACACGCTGGTATTTCTTCATATAACGTTACATATTCAAAGTTAGGCATTTCATCAAAAAACAGCAGTTTGAACTGCTAAACACACACCTGTCGATAAGTAAAGTCAGTCTACCAAAGTTGTGTTTGCAATGTCTACATAACTTTTTCACAACAGACATGTCACAGCAGGAAAAGCACTAGCTAATGGCATTACTAATGATGGCTTCCTTCCATTAAGTGTCCCTATAAATCATTCAGGTGAATGACAGTTAACATAACATTACCTGGTCCGTGGGACTGTATACTTGCCGAATTAATCTTTTCAATACACCTGTGCATTTATTGCAATGACATGCCAACATACAGTATTCGAAAGGGTCTTCGTTGTCACTTACTCTGTACAGTAAAAAAGACACAAAATAACAATAAACCCAGTAAAGTGAGCACACTTTATTTATCTCCTGCTAAATAGGTATTTTTGGACATATATTTATTGAAAAAGTGTTTAATTTAAGATGCTTCTAGCTGGTATGTTGTGCTAATGTTAATGTAACATATTTTGTGCACAAAACTCACAAGTGTTCTTTGTTTCAAAGTAGCAACATTTAAATCTAGATGAATAGAGATCCCATTTTAAGGCCACTTTGAACACTACATTTGTATTTAGTATTAGTTCAAATAAAAGAGATTTACAGTGACAACCTTTTCGGGGTTAAACTGCATTAAAGTGATTAGTATGAAACACAAGCAACCATTTTAAGACTTTTTTAATTTTGTGCTGGAGGGGTTATTTTGCATTAAAGTGCACACATGTTTAATAATGTTCAAACAAGAAACGTCCCATGTAACTGATGGCATTACTAATGATGGCTTCCTTCCATTAAGTGTCCCTATAAATCATTCAGCTGAACAAGAATGAACATTTCAGTGGCAAGGCCCTGGAACTAGCACACCTGAATGGAACATGGCCTAATCAATGCTTTCATTACACCTGTGCATTTCTTATCACTTGCCAACATATTTGAAAAGGGTCTTCGTTGTCACTTACATCATACAGTAAACCAACAAAAAAATGATACAGTTAAGTGAGCATACTTTATCTCCTGCTAAATGTTATTTTTTGTCCGAGTATACCAATTTAGGAATGTTTACATTTAAGATGTTTCTAGCTAGTATTTTGTGCTAATGTTTAGTATGTTTATGTAGCTTCTTTTGTGCACAGAACTCACACTTTTCTTTGTCTCCAAGTTCATTTTTTATATCTAGATGAATAGAAATGCCATTTTAAGGCCACATTGGAAAAAGAATGTGTACTTATCAGTGGTGGAAGAAGTACATCTAGTAATGAAGTAAAAGTAGCAATACTTTAGCAATACTTTCACTTTCACAAGTGAAAATACTCAAGAGAAGTACAATTACCTCAAAATTGTACTTTAGTACAGTACTTGAGTAAATATACTTGGTTACATTCCACCAATGGTATTAAGTATCAGTTCAAAATAGATTTATAGTGACAACCAATGCAGGGTTAAACTGCATTAAAGTGAATAAGGTGAAACATAAGTAGCCACCGTAAGACTTTTTTTCTTCATTCTGGTGAGGCTTTTTGCATTAAAGTGCACACATGTTTCATTTCATTTCAAACCTTTATTTATAGCTACAGGTGAATCCCATTGAGATCACTGATCTCTTTTTCAAGGGTGACCTGCTGCAAGTAGGTTCCACATGAATACATATAAACATAACAGAAAAACAAAAAGGACATCATACAGCATATTTACAGCGACTACAGTTTACATAGCTAGTAACATTTACAGGTTCCAACAGTTTCCGAGTGGATAGCATCTATCCTTGCTAAGTTTAATGCTTTATCAGATAAAGTCCCTTTTTTATAAAATAGATATGTAAAAACAAAATTCTATGCCCATGTGCCTCCCCCCACTGGCAGGCAGCACGCTTGCTATTCTTCCTTAAATCCAGGTTTTTGTGTGAGCATGACAGCTGATTCAGCACAAATATCACATTACTGTGAGGGTTTCTGTGGCACTTTAGCCTGAGCTGACAATATCCTACAAAATGAAATGAGCACAGCTTCCTCCTTGGGGTTTGGGGTTCTGTCAACAGAGCAGTGGTGGTCAGGAGGCGATACTGCTGGCAGACTGGCAACAAAAAACAATCCAATCATTTAGGTCTTATATTTTATTCCTGAATCCTTGGGGACTTACAGTATAATTCCATCTGAAACATATGCCAGAACATATGTCGAGGGAGGGGGTGTTTAGTTTGACCCAGCCAGCCTCACTTTAAATGTCCTCCTCTGCTAAAGCTCAATCTATATTGGTTTATGGTTCTGAAGCTGTTCTGGTCTCCCCTGAGGCTTCGGTGAGCGGAGGTAAAATTGCAGAGCTTGTTTAGCCTGATCGTGATTGCTCGTTGCGTTCTATTACTTTCCACAGGATAAATGCTTCATAAACTCCATCTTTTCATTTTGTCGCTTGCGTTATCCAAACCACGAGTGGCCAAACTTATATTTCAAACCAAACATGATGTATTGTCTTTGTGTTTAAGTTGGCCTGCATGTATAGTACCATAAATATGACGGCAAACAATTCACAGAGAATATGCTGTAGGAGACAACCCTTTGAAAAGAATAGATGAATGCCTTTATGTCTATTCTAGAATTCGAACCAAAGAAAGCCCTCTCCCATGCTGTGATAGTGATATAAGCCTGTTTCCACTGCACTGTCTCTAATGTTGCGTCTGGCTCCCTCAGGTGTACTCTGTGGACAATGAGGAGCAGACAGGTGCTTTTCTGGAGTTCCTGGTTCCCCGGGACCTCGCTGATGGCTTTGTCAACAACAAGAGGGAGTGCTACAAGTTCAGGTAGAGTGTCAGGTTCTTTTATTAATATCCGTAAAACCTTCCATTTGCTTTGTTTCCCAATAAATGAATCTAAATCAAATTTTAAACTGGAGGGGTTTTAGATGGAAGACCGCATCGATTAGTTCACTAATCCTGTTATCATCGATGAAGAGAAATGGACATCTGTATGATAAACAGTTAGTTAATAAAAGTATAATCTAATGTTTCATCCTTTTTAAATATAGCAATGTCCTTTTTTTTCTCTGTTTTATATCATATAAATGAATATTGTGGGGTTTTGGACTGACATTGAAACACTTTTTTTTGACCAAGCGATTCATTTTTTTATAATGACAAGAAATCAGACCATTAATTAATGGACATAATCAATAGTTGCATCCCAACTAATGATCACATTATAGTATTATAGTAATGATTTCCTTCAAATCAGAGGGCTCATTCACAAATATCTTACACTTCTTTTCTTAAATATGTTCTTCAGAAAGGCTTTGAGAAAAGTCTATATCATATTCATGAGGTGTGTGATTAAAGAATCATTTGTACCTGTCCTCTGACAATGATGTTTCCTCTTCCTTGTAAATTAAAAGTGTGTGGCAGTTGATTCTAATTAGCATATAACGCCCCACCAATCCACTTAAATGGCATACCACTGCAGGGCTGAAATGAGTACCAAAAGTACTATAGAAAGTCTATAGAGGTTGGAGCACCAGACTGTTACAGTGTGTATGTGTTTACTTGTTTAAAAGGCCAAAAGATTTGTGATATAATAAAGATCATTCAAAAAAATAAAATATATGATCAACATATTTTTGTAATTTAAATTCAGTTTAACAGTACTTTAGAATTGAAGGAAACATGATAACTAATTATTTGCACGAACATGTCAGCAGCACTCAATTGTGCTTGAATGTGTTGATTCTGTTCATACTGTACACAGACAAACAACATTTAAATAAGAACACATCAAAAGGATTAGATATAGACTATACGCAGTAGTCGAAAACGATGTGTATGATTATTTTATTTTTAACGATTAAGCTTAAGAGCTTATGCTAGAGTTGTGTACTATAACTGTAGAGTTTGAAAATAACATACAACATAAAAGAAAATGTATTGTCCACCAGAATTTACACTACCAGAGTTTCATAAGAACTTTTCCCATGAATAATTCATCCAGCAGTTGTAAGTGCAGAGCCAACACATCTGTCTAACGCTGGTGGTGAGAGCTGCAGCCTTATATACCCTAAGGGCAGGGCCCATGCCACGCTTCCAAGCCCTAAATTCACAGTTAGGAAATCAGACAGCAGTGGACACTGAGAGCCTTTGAAAACCACACAGTCTTATTATAACCCTTGGAGGTTCCCTTGTGCCCTTATAGAAATACAATTTCCACATTTAACAATCTTCCTGGGCGGATTCCTCCACATCTTTCTGTGGGATAGAACATGATGAGCTGCGTTTGAAAACAGAATGACTAAACTCCTCCTCGTCCACTTGGGAAATTAAATACTTTGCCGTCTGTGCTTACTTGGTACTGCTGTGGGTGATTGTGTTGAACCCTGGATCTTTGAGATAATGTATATACTTACTGTATGTTATTGTAGTGAAATAAATGAAAGCTAAATGTTGTATTCTGCCAATGTGTCATACTGTCTTTGTTCTTCTTCCTTTTTTCCAGGTTCCTAAAGGTGTTTGATCAAGCTGTTGAACAAGAAGAGGTATTTGAAAACATTGCCAAACCAGTTGCAGACAGGTAACGTCTTTCTGACATAAAACTTCTTATAATGAAAAATGCAAATAAATGTTTAGTGCTGTAGCGATGAACCCAAAGTCTATGAAATGAGTGAGCATTTTGTCTCGATGTCAATGGGTTTTTTGACAAGGGTTCTTGGTTAGTTGCCTGAACTAAGGTCTGTGGTTAGTGCAAGCTTTGGAGTTTTAATTATTTTGTTCTTGGACATGAAGGATGTCTATAAATGACCAACATGTCTTGCAAAATGGGATTGCTAACGAGTAACTAAATGCCCTGCTAACTTCCAGATTGGCCGACAAAAATACATCATACTTACATACACTACTATATAATGCAGTTCATTTTGAAAGTACCGGTATATATATTTAAAAACGTTTTGTTAACCTTACAACTACATCCTTTGATTATTCTATTCACAATTCACTGCCCACCTGTTTCTTGCAATGCTCCTCTCATCACGTTTTGGTCAGGCCACACAGGGTATATCCATCCTTGTTGACAGGAAGTTAGTAAAGCTCAGCTTTCTTTAAGATGAAAATGGAGGGTGTCAGTGATTTTTGGCCTGCTTTACAAACTTTAACCACTAAGTGGACTGAGCTGGCAGGCAAAATGGCCCACTGTGCCATTGAGAGTGTGAGAACATTTTCCAACCACAACACAGGAGCAACACTGTAGCCACTCACTCATTATGAGCTTTTGTTCCATGTCATGCATGAGGACAACATTCATTAAAGTAACCTGCTGAATAATCTGGCCCGCATGATCAACAGTTCAAGTCTACACATTCATCAAATAAACACAATACAACATGATTTGCATTTACATTTCATTATTCCTACTTCCAACTAGATTAATTGTGACGTAAAGCTTCCTTTGCCTCTAACGGCCCATCCACAAGGCAGCGTGCGTTGCTTCAACGGAGACGCTTCCCATTCACTTTGAATTGGGTGATGTCAGGCTTTGCCGAACTGCATTGTGGTTCCGTCCCGTCGCTTTGCCTCCATTGCTCGCTTCAAAAGTTGAGAAAAGTTCAACTTTTCAAGCTTCGACGGAAGCGCCAGCCAATCAAAACATATGCCAGTACAAGCTCTAGCCAATCAAACCACATGCTTGTGTGTCCGGGGCGGGAGATTAATGTGATTGGTTGTTGGTCGCGCGCCAGACACGCCTACCGGCAAGCTTCAACGCACGCTGCCATGTGGACCGTAAGATATCTCAACAGTGAGATCCATTTCAATTAAAGTTTTTTTAAATTTTATTACACAACACACATTTACCCAGCAGCCCGTTAACACAACAGGTTACAGACTAATTTTTCCTCCCCATGGCTCAATTTATCCTGACCACCTCCATTCCTCCCCAGGCTTCTTATGGCGCTTTTCCACTGCAGGACCTAGCACGGCTTAGTACGGTATGGTTAGGCCTTGGTAGGCTAGGCTCACTTTATGCAGCGTTTCCATTACAGTTTAGGAACTGGGGTAGTAATTATAGTAACGCAGTGTAGGTGGGGCGATCGGCTGTTCGGCGGGCGGAGCGACGCTGCGTAAAACTGCTGTGACGTCATCTTCAATGCGAACCACAAAACCAACATCAGCCGTTAGCTGTTAGCACTCAGAGCTCACAGCTCCTCATATCTGTTCAGAAACTAGACAAAAGTTAAACAAGTAAAAACCACAGACTGTCTGTGTCATGGCGAATACAGTCGCTGGTTTATTTATGTCTGTATAGGCCGTTGTTGTGAGTGTGGACGGAGCATATACAACGTTAGCTTAGCCTGATCGATCCGATCTCCATTCAGAAAACACGCATTTTAAAAGGTTTTTCACCAGCCGTCTTGTCTGCAGACTTGTCAAAGCATTAATTCATGGTTTTTACTAACCGGTATCAGTATGTTGTTACTTCGGCATCATTTTGAAACGTGTATTACAATTAAATCACGGTTAAATATGTTCATTTTGTTGTAGTTGTAGCCCCCTTGCCAGCGATTCTCTCTGACCATTCAGCAATCCAGTGTTTACGTCACTAGTTTAGCATATTCATTCTGGTTGTTGAGCCGGTAAGAACCTCGATTTTGGAGGCCCAGAAAAAAGGTGAAAAAGTAGCCCTGAGCCGGAACTACCCTTATACCCGGCCAGCTTAAACCGTGCTACGTGCTGCAGTGGAAAAAACGCCATTAGTCACAATAGGGGCTATTTTTGGAATTCCACAAGTGCTTTGCATTATCTTTGCTAATATGAGACATATAAACAGCATGGTGAGACATCTGGATCGGCTGACTAAGGGCTCGGATGTATTTGACCTGACTCACATGGGGTTCACAGACTCGTGTTTTCAGTTGTCCTGCCCAGCTAACCTTTTCACAGTCTCTGTTGTGGCAGATGGTAAACATCAGGTTTAAAGTTTCAGTCACAACCAGGCTATGTCCTTTGCCAAATCAATTTAAGCTTGGCGTATTATAGCCTTTGATATGACTCTGCAGTCTTAAAGACACTAGTCATCCGGTCTAGCCAGAACCCATTTGTCTCCACAATCATTTCTAAGTCCACTGTCAATGCCTTGCCCCCTCTGCAGGACGCTCGTTTACACAATGAATGCTCTAAATTCCACAACGTGTGAACCATTTAAATCTGTTCTCCACACAGTGAGTATAAGTAAGGGGAATAACTCTGCCTGCCATTTCATATGTGTTTCCCTCAAACACAATCACAGCTTAGGCCTCATGTCCAAAAAGTAATAAAAGAGACACAGGAATTCACTTTAGCGTGGACTGATGTGTAATAAGCTATGTGAAGCCCAGCTGGTGTGCTGATAACTCTGAAGTGAAGCTTATGTTGATATTGACGTGGTCCCAGTTACAGAAGCACGTCTGGTCACAGAAATCACAAACAGAGTCTAATTTGGAGTGACAGATAGTTTTTCCTAAAGCCCCTGCAGTCAGGAAACATTTATTCAGGTTTAGCGTGGAATTGCTTTGAATCGAAGCCGTTTCGCTGTCACCGCACTAAAACTCAGTTTCATGCACGCAGGCGCCTATCCTCTCAACTAGCAATAACTGTCAGGTTGTTGTTTTGGTTGGTACTCTGTCATACTTGGCGCACACCAAGTTTAGCCAATAGCTCGAAGTCGTTTACTTGCGTTCTAGTCTCTGTCTCTGCTGTGGTGTAACCGAAACCAGCAATTTCAACCCCAACACAGTAGTTTCAAAACAAACCAGCATTAATAGCTCCAGTTGAGGAAGAGCCAACGTAACGATGTTGGGCTGGCAAGGCAAAGCCTCTATCTGGATTGTAATCCCATTTCACAAGGCTGTGAAACCAGTAGCTGAAGTGCAAAGAAGGATTAGGGTCTGTGCATTTTTATCCTTAAACCTAATACTTGAAAGAAAGTAAAAGATTGGACTTGCTGCTTTTCAAATAAAGAACCATAATAACTACTCGACGACAAGTTGCCAATCTCCAGGAGAGCTGAGGGGTAATCAGGAACAAGCATTGGGAAACGCCCAAGCCTCAGTGGCAGTGCCCAGGCCGCATCATTAGCTCTGACATTAAACTAAACATAGAGCCTGTGTCTTTCCTCCCCACTGCCAATCACTGCCATGACTCACGGCGGACTAAATGGATGCCCATTGACCGGCCAACCAACCACCATGAGTGGACGTAGTGTTTTATATATACTGACATGCAGTTTTTTCGCTTACTCTTCTCAGGCAGGGTGTGGAATTGTACAGAACACAGGAAAGCCACAGTGCTCTAATTCTGGGTCTGTAATTCAATTAGGATAAGTGAGAGGCTTGTGTTTTATAATTTACCCTAACAAATATAGTATCAAGATATCCTTGTTTGTTAATTGTCAAGTCAGTTTATCCTCACCTATGGTCAGAGCTTGTGTTTTAGTCTTTCGACTATTTGTCCTGCTTTATTACCAAGACTAGAAAACAGGTTTTTTCGCCAATTTATATTACCTCATAGAAGCACCACCATGTTGGATGTTTTTTCATTCAAGTGGAACAAGATACCATTGGTTTCCATGGCCCTGTGCACGTGCAGAATAACGATTCAGTGCCAAACCAAAATGTACCAGGCCCTGCCTAGTTGAGTGGGTTCAGGCCTTTTCCTTCACTCATGCTCCGAGACATTCCTCCGTCACCGGCAGACGTCTGTCGCCATAGCCGTCGCTCTCCAGTCACTGCCATCCTTCCCTGTGGATTTAAAGTGTCAGTTTCAATTCACCCAGAATTTTGCTTTCTGCTTGAGGGTATCCTTGACAGTCCCCTTCTTTCCACTGTTGGCCATTAATTACCTTTAGGCCCACTTTGTTGTTTGGTTGCATATATTTAGCCCTCTAGAGCAAAGCAGTGACCATACACTATTTAATCAAGTCATGGAATATTCTCCAATCTTCCATGACTTCACACATGACCGCAACTTAGCCAGTTGAATCCTAGCCATGGACCTTTTTTGCTTGTCCCTTTTCCATATTGCCTATTCTTTTTTACCTATCCAACATAGGTCAAAATGCTTCATAAAAAGAAAGCAATTGTGTATGTATTCTGCTAATGAGCTTTATATATAAAAATGAGAAATAGATAATATACAGTACAGTGTACATTCTTGTTGGCATTATAATTACAATAGACTTTATAAGTGTTCATTATCTTATGTGCTATATTTACATGCCATTCTGGAGAGCAGGTACAGAACATCACAAAACAACCCCAGCCAGGCTTTTCTACGGATAATGACACAGTAATCACGGTACTTACGGTAGTTCATATTGCTGAAGGTTAACCACTGACCTATTTAGAGTGCAATTATTTTTGCAAGGTTTTTAAATGATTGACCTTTCTGTTGTTGTATTGTGTGTTTGTGTGTGCACAGTGTGTTGGCTGGCTACAATGGCACCATATTTGCCTATGGCCAGACGGGCAGTGGGAAGACGTTTACCATCACAGGAGGGGCCGAGCACTACAGTGATCGTGGAATTATCCCCCGCACACTTTCATACCTGTACGAACGCTTCAGCCAGGTCAGAACAGCAGGGAAGCTTTTTCTATCATTTCATTTTAGGCCACACACACATATACATTCAAGAAACATGAACCCTATTGTCTCTCTCTGTCATCGTTAATTACGCTGTTCTACAGCATCTACATTTAAACATTTGCTTTTGCAAGAAAGCAACAACAACACTAAGGCTGGGTTGCCCCAACAGAGAACTCTTTTATGTTTTTAAATGAGCAAATCCAGATCAGTTTTTATTTCTCTGTTTAGTAAATCCAAATGAATTGATAGGAAACAAACTTGATTATTTTGCTTGGTCCATCCCAAAAAAGACTGCCATTTTAAAGTGTAAGTTTGAAGTTAATACTGAGTCACATTTTTAAATTCAAAGGATTTTTTTTGCAACATAATTCATTTTAATCAGGTAAAAAAGGAAACTGAAGTTTAAAGAGGTTGATCTAAAAATGAATCCTTGTTGAATTCAATCTTTATCCAGTTAAATACATACTTCTTTGATGCTCCACAGGACAGCAGTATGGTTTATACCACACACATCTCCTACTTGGAGATCTACAACGAGATGGGATATGACCTCCTGGATTCCCGCCATGAAGCGTCTCGACTGGAAGACCTACCGTCAGTGTTCCTTTTATTACTTTAACTTTGACCATGCTGATGTTATAGTCATCCCGTTCCATTTTAACATGTTAACGATTAGCATCAGATAGTGTGTATTGAGACTTGGGGATATGCACTCATAAGTAATATATGCAGGGGGGTTTTATGCTGAAAAGCCTAATCAGGCCTGGTTCCATTATCCGCCTTATTCCAGAACAGCCATTTGTCATCCTGGCTCGGAGTCACACTGTGGTGAAATATGGAGACTCTAGTATTTACCACCTCACTATGAACTGCCAACTGACATAATAAGACTTTGGGACAGCAATGGATGTGGTCAGACTCTGCCACTAGAGTGGAGAGCATGAGGGTCATGTGAAGAAATTGCTTTTCATAGCTACTGGCTGCTGCAGCTGCTCTGAGGGAAATTCTTTTTTTGGGTCCAGCTACCTCTTTCTCTCACTCTCTGTTTGTGGCCATTTGTTGCTTCCTTTTTTACTAGGACCTGTCCTTCAAACTCTCCTTCTTCCACACGGTTTCATCCAGCTTCATTTTTACCATGTGTCCGTCTTTCTTTGTAATTAACAATTCCATTTGTCTGGAGGTTTGTCTGTGTTTGTTCCTTTTTTTGTTGCCTATTTTGTTCAATACTTATTCATCTCTAGACGTCCGGGCGCATTATGGTCTCGGTACATCATTTTGGTGTTTCTCAGAGGATCCAGCTCAAGGTTTAGATCCCCACAAATCACAGTCTTCTGGAAATAGACAGTGCCCGTTGTTAACCATGCTGTGGCCACACTTGCTGATTCAAGAAGAAGCAGTTCTCTCTCGGACTGGTGCTCTGCTTCTTTCTTTCACTGCCTACGCCTCCTCTTTCTGACATTCTTGCACTCATTTTCCTTATTCTTTGCTCCATCCGTGCATTATTACCTCTGCCAAGGAAGGTATGTTTTAGGTTGTGTTTCTTTTTGTTTGTCAGCAGGATTATGTGAAAACTACTTGGTGGAAGTGTCAAGGAAAAGCCCAAAAATATTTTGGAGAAGATCAGAATTATAGACACACATTATTTTTTTCCTTAAAATTGCAGGATCTATTTGCGCTCTTGAAAGAACCCTGCTTGCTTCTATCATGCGTTCAGCGGTCCTCCCTCTAAATGCTTAAAAGTCTGTATATATCAACCGCATCATCTCTTATATTTCTGTAAAATAAATAATCAATCCTTTTTTGAGTTGGTGGGGCTGTTTAGAAAAATAACCATACCATAGCACAGGTCTTTAATCACATTAAGATTCATTGTGTTTTACCAAACAACCCCAATTACCTTCACATGTTAACATAATTATCCACATGTGTTCTCCAGTGGTTCCACCCTCTGACATCTCAATCCAGTAGCCATTCTGTCACGACCGTAGAGGTGTGATGGATTTGATATGGTTATATAACCGGAGTCATTCCGACCCATCTGGCCAAGCACACTGCATGTTGAGGGAAATCAAGCCCTGTCTGTTATCGAATTATAAACCCCCAGACAGATGAAGCACATGTCAATCTGGGTAGCAGCCCACACTGACTTGCAGATGTGGTTTGTTTGGATTAAGCGCTGAGCAAAGCCAAGGCGATTGGAGGGAAATGGATGACATAACGGACATGATTACCTTTCATAAATGCTTCAGGGTTGGATTATTTTGGTTTTGACTGTATTTGTCCCACTTTTGTAATTTCAAGATATTTTTTTATGGTGGAATTAACTTCTTTTTTTCATTTTTTTTCCAGAAAGGTGCTGATTATGGAAGATCCAGACCAGAACATCCATCTGAGGAACCTGTCACTGCAACAGTCAGCCAATGAGGAGGAGGCTCTGAATCTGCTCTTCCTTGGAGACACCAATCGTATGATTGCAGAGGTAAGAAATAAGGGAAACACTTCCTTTCATAGATGAGAGCAGCGCCACGTCACTGCCTGGCGAAATGACAGCCCTGTCCACTTTCCGGTTAAGGGGTAAACATTAAGTTATCATGCCTAAAAGCGGGCGTGTCATTTATTGTACTTCAAACAACAGAAAGGTCCAAAGTTAAGATTTTCTATTCTTTAATTTAGGAAAAAGGATGATAAAATATCTGTAGCTTCTGGCCAAGAGTACAGAGATTGTAAACAATGGAACACTGTCAGTCAATACGTGCACGTACATTTTTTTCACCCAAGCCAGGCTTTGAGGGAAGTATCCGGATGGGTTGCTCTTATAGATAAGGATTCTCTGCTAGTAGAAATGTATGATGTGACTTACAATTTTAATTCACACACAAAACATGCTGTGGTCTTAGAGAGGATTGTATTCGGCATGCAGAGATACATTACCACTCCCAGGACAAGTGGTGTGAATGGTCCACACTATTATGCACTCTAAAGGCCACCTTAGGACCCTTCTAAAATATGACTTTGGTCCCTTGTGGTCCCTTTTACCATGTTTTCCCCAGTATAACCAAGCAAGTCATTTCTGTTTATGTTACGGTGGTTCCTTTCTACACTTCAGACACTCAGACTCCCCACGCTGATGTGACATGTGGCGGGTCAGCTTTTTGCCCTCAACCTGAGGTTTGGAGCAAAGGGCTGATATCACCTTGTTTACCCTTGTTGCTAGTTTGTAAGTAAATAACAGACAGTAAAAGTGAACCGAATAATCAGGTTTCAATCAGAGACTTGCTTTTAAGTAGTATTCCAAAGTCAGTTTTTGATGTGGCTGTGACTCTAAACATAACCAATCCAAAAGGAAATAGTTATAGGATCCAGGATAGAAGTTCCCCGGGAATCGGTTTTATTGCTACTACACATATGATGCACATATTCCACGGAACATAGCCCATTGCCTAAACAATAACTCCTTTATTTTTCATCTACCTTGAAGACAAACCATTTGTCCACTGCTGTAAAACCTGGGGGTATACTTCAATACAAACATATTCTTGGATGTCACATTAATCTGTTGATCAGGGAAACAAGGCGTTTCACAGTTCAGCGAGGAGCCCTCAGTACAGTCCACCCACACACTTTAGTGAACTAATCCCCTCTGGGACTTCTTTACAAAAGTTTCTCTTGAGCCCCGAGCAAACAAAGAACCGTCAATAAAGTAAATCTGTCGCTGCCAGAATCATCCCAGAAGTCCCTGCTCCACATAGACTTCAAATAAAGTTAACACTAGTGCTTTCTTTCTTCTCTCGCTCACGGCCATGTGGATAAAAGATGACACATCCATTCAAGCTGCACATGGCAGATCATGAGCTCACTCGCTTTGAGACTTGGCAATCCCCTGTGCACTTTTATTGGACAGGAAATAAAATGCACCTTCTCAACTCCTCACCCCTTCCTTTAACCTCACCAGGAAACATTTCCTCTCATCTGCTATTTTTGTATTCCTGTTCCACTTCCCTTCACATGTGGTGATATAGAGCCTGGATCTTTCCCTTCTTCCTACATCCTTACTACCTTCTGAGCTTGTAGGGGTGAGGAGGGTGCAGAGCAGGTTTGTTTTCCAAATGAAACTTCACATTTCATCTCTCAAATCTGCAATCTCTAGGCATTTAAGTGCTTTTAGCATTAGATTGACCTGTGTGTGTGTGTGTGTGTGTGTGTGTGTGTGTGTGTGTGTGTGTGTGTGTGTGTGTGTTGTGAGATCAACATGTGGTCAATTGAGAACACAGGAGAATAAAGGAAGTGATTCACTTTGAAAATAAATGAATGCAGCCTGATACAAAACCCCTGCATAAAACCTATAATGTTCAGTTTGTTGGTGATAATTTGCATCAATGCATTATACAGAGAGGTGTTTCTGTTATTCAGTCTACCCATGTTAATATAAATGGGATAGTCAAAGTACAAGAAACGCCTGTCTGTTCAACGATACCACCAATGATATGTGTGTCAGTATATCTGTCTTAAAACATGGACCTATTCTCTGTGAGATCACCCAAATACTGGATGCTGCATTCCTGAAGATCTGTTGTGAAGCTCAATCTGCTGACTCAGCCTAATCCCCAGCTAATCCAAAGTGGGCAAAGAGGAACAATCATCGAGGAGTTAATACTGCCCAGGCTAGAGTCTAGCGACCTGTGTCTGTATCCAACTGTCACTCAAAGCAGCCCTGCCCTTAAGTTTGCCTAACTGTAAGCCTGAATATTTTTTTAAAACGCTAAGTAACATGAAAGTTCACACCCTAGCTCTGTAGACTCCAAGACAGAAGGATCAGCAGAATCTGTTGATGTTTCAGGTCAGTCCCTGGTGGCCTTATAGGTGATCTCCTTAGGCACGTTCACACCGCAGTACTTTTCCCCCGTACTTTCCCCGTTTAGTTCCGTTAGTACCCCTTATGTCGCGTTCACACCAAAAAGAGTACTTAGTGCCAGGAACTTTTACCCCCATTTTTAGTGCCTGCTAGAGAGGTGGTACGAAAAAAGTACACATTTCTATTGGCTGGGCGAATTGCAAACCACGGCCCGTAAAACTCTGAAAAGTTTTTTGAAGCCTCCATTGTATTTGCTGGCATTAGCATTAGCATTACGTGTGTGTGTGTGTGTGTGTGTGTGTAACAGAGAGAGACTAACTTATGGAAACACAAAAAAAAACATGGGAGCGGTGGAGTGATGAGGAGGTGTCTGCGTTCTGACGATTTACTCAGAAGGCCAGTCCCCAACTCCGGGGACTTCTGGCCGGGGACTTTGGGTGGCAGTATACGCCGTGAAGTTGTTTGCGGTCTGCCAGTAAACCCGAAGCAGAAGAAGAAGAAGTGATGTCAGCGGCTTCATTTGACTAATCCTCCCCCAGGGAACTTATTCCGGTGTGAACGGGATCTGTTCTTAGTTCATGAGAACTAAAGAGTTCTGATGAACTAAGTTCTCATGAACCTTTGTGGGAAAAGTACTGCTGTGTGAAAACGCCTATTGTGTTCTTTGTAACCAAATCTCTCTCAGAGGGGCGTGGGGGGGGGCGTCCGTTATTTTCTATCTAAAGTAACAGACACAGAATCAGCACTTTTGGAAACAGGGCTGAAACAGAGGGGGATTAATGATTAGTGAAAAAGACTCTCCACCAAACGTTCTTTTTCTTGATTAATTAGTGTAGCATGTTAACTATGGCGAGTCGCCGACGGGAGTATTAAGTCGAGAAAAAAAAAAGCCCGTGATACTCTCTTTGTAGGCAAGTGTGTGAGGAAAAGTGAAAAATAACTGTGAATACCCTCGCCCTGCAATCTAATGGTGCCGTAGCCAAAAAGTTCTTATTATGAGAGTTGTGTTACTGAATTTTTTATTATGTTCGGACGTCCTATTTGATCGCTCCACTTATTTCCACACCCCCCCACCCCAACCGAGATGACCTACCGTCGTCTAATAACGCTACCGGCAAACTAGAAACTTCGCGGTCCGCCGTAGAACCTGCTATAAAGAGGTCCATTTCGTCGACGCGAAACTGTGTGCGAGGGCTGCCCGAAGACCTCCTTTTCTGCCTTCTAATCAATGACAGTAGTATCCAAAAGGGGGATCTATATATGCTCGGCGCAGAGACCTAACCCGACTTGTGGTTTGCTCGTAAC